GTATATGAACACAATGGAATGTTACACAGCAATGAAAATGAACAAAGTCCTAACGTAGATGATGTGGGAGAGTTTCAGAGATACAGTAAACATTTAGTGAAAACAATGTATGTATTGTGTAATCTGCTAGCTACAAAAAGGAAGATTGAATCTGTAATACTGAACGTCAAGAGTAACAGCTCCCCTGTGGAGAGTGGGCAGGTGTACAAGGGCATCTCCCTGAGTGCTGGCTGTCTCCTGAGCTAGTTGGTAGTTTCGCAAGCTCATATGTAAAATGTATACCTAAAATTTGTGTACCTTGCACTAAAAAAATCATCTTCGTATTAAGTAGAAAAAATTCCCACCACTTTCTCTATGTTTGAAGTATGTTATGGTTAAGAATAACAATAAGTTAATAATTTTTATTCTCAGTAATCTAAAAGCAAAATTGAATTGTGCAGGTAATTGGCTTTGCAGCATATTCTTGTTCTAGGCTTGAGATGTGATTATACTGAGAACATTCAGAAGTGGAGGAGGAACTCCATACTGCTTCTCAGATGGTCCGACGGTCCTCAGCCTCTTTGTAGAAAGAAAGAAGTCTTTTAAGGTTGCATCTTAGTTCACATTCCTTAGTGGTGAAGAGCTCAGGCTTTACTGCCTCGTTGGAAAACTCACAAGGGAGCTTTTTGTCCTTGGGCCCTCAGATTTCTCTCATGTTATATGATACCCAGATCTGTGTGTCTCAAGTGTTTAAATACATCCTGCGCTTGTTTAAAAATCAGTGATTTGGGGTGGGTGCTATCGTGCCTTTAAAATAAATAAGATAAATCTTTTTGTAAAAATCAAGTATCTGTAAAAATTCATAAATGCTGGTAATACTGGTGTTTCAGTTTCCACACTTAGGCTGTCATAAACAATGCCATGTCATTGATTGTGATTTCACAAGTGTGTTATGAATTCTCTTGGACATACCTATAAGGATAGAAAAGTATTTGTCATTGTGTTTTATGTTGTAGTCCTCCTGCTGGGTGTAAAGTGATATTTCTCTGGCGACAGATGACATATTCTCAAGTGCCTATTCACTGTATGTTGTTGGCTAAATGTCTAGTGAAATCCTCTGCCCATTTTACAGTTGGGTTAGTTGTCTTGTTGAGTTTTAATAGTTCCTTTAAATTCATTATAAATCTATCAGATACATGATTTATTATATTTTTTCCCATTCTGTGGATTGTCTTTTCACTGTCTTGATGGCATCCTTTAATACACAAAATTTTTAATATTGATATAGTCCAATTATTTTGTATTTATTATGCTTTTGGGGTCATATTTAAGAGATGACTGCTTAAATTTCTAAGACATATATATTTGTTCCTTTCTAAAAGCTTTCTAGCTGCAGCCAGTTCTGTATGTGTAGATCTACTTAAGTTTCTTTTTTGTAAGATTTAATTTATTTCAAAGGCAGAGAAAGAAAGAGAAGAAGTCTTCCATCCACTGGTTGACCTGTCTGAGGGCCACAACCACAAGGATTGGCCAGACGGAAGCTAGGAACTAGGAACATCATCCAGGTCTCCCATACAGGTGGTAAGGCTCTGAGTAAGCCATCATCAAGCATGTCAACAGTGAGCTGGATTGGAAGTGGAGTAGCCAGGGCTCGAATTGGCACTCCAACATGGGTTGTGGGCCCAGCCCTTTGGGTCACAATGCCAGCTCCTACTTTAATTTCTTTGTGGTGCTTTACAGTTTTTGGTGTGTAAAACTTGTATTTCTTGGGCCCAGTGGAGTGGCCTAGCAGCTAAAGTCTTCACCTTGAACACACCGGGATCCCATATGGGCGCCGGTTCTAATCCTGGCAGCTCCACTTCCATTCAGCTCCCTGCTTGTGCCTGGGAAAGCAGTCAAGGACGGCCCAAAGCCTTGGGACCCTGCACCCGTGTGGCATACCCAGAAGAAGTTCCTGGATCCTGGCTTCGGATTGGCATAGCATCGGCCGTTGTGCTCACTTGCAGAGTGAATCATCGGATGGAAGATCTTCCTCTCTGTCTCTCCTCCTCTCTGTATATCTGACTTTCCAATAAATAAATAAATCTTAAAAAAAAAAAAAAACTTGTATTTCTTTGTTAAATATGTCCCTAAATATTTTATTCTTTTTGATATTACTGTAATATTGCAAGTAAGTAGAATTGTTTTCTTTAAGATGTGAGGTTTAGGGCCTGTTGTGGTAGCCTAGTGGCTAAAATCCTTGCCTTGAGTCCTGGCAACCTTGCTTCCCATCCAGCTCCCTGCTTGTAGTCTGGGAAAGCAGTTGAGAACGGCCCAAAGCCTTGGGACCCTGCACCCGTGTGGGAGACCTGGAAGAGGCTCCTGGCTCCTGGCTCCTGGCTCCTGGCTTCAGATTGGCTCAGCTTCAGTCACTGTGGCTACTTGGGGAATGTATCAACGGATGGAAGACCTTCCTCTCTGTCTCTCCTCCTCTCTGTATATCTGACTTTACAATAAAAATAAGTAAACTTTTTTTTTTTTAAGATGTAAGATTTATTTATTTGAATGGTGCTGTTGGCAGAGAAAGGCAGGTGATAGAGGCATCACTTCCCAACTGTCTGGCTCATGCCGCAGATGGCTGCGATGATTAGGACTGGAGCAGGCTGAAGCTAGGAGACGGGGGCTTTTTTAGGGTGTCTCACGTGAGTGTAGAGGTCCAAGCACTTGGTCCATGTTCTGTTGCTTTCCCAGGCACATTAGCAGGGAGCCAGGTTGAAAGTGGGGCAGGCAGGATTTGAACCGATGCCTATATAGGATGCTGGTGTCAAAGGCAATGGCTTTACTAATTATACCACAATGCCAGACCTAGAATCGCTTTCTTAATTTTTCCCCAGGCTGCTCATTATTATAGAAATATTGTTGATTCTTAAAATATGTTTAGTTGAGAGAGAGTGCTCCCACCTGCTGGTTTGTGTCTCTTACCCCCCCAGTGGTGCTGCTTTCCTGGCTGGGCTCAAGTGGAGGAACCCCTTTCAGGTGCTGAACCATCATTGTAGTCTCTGCACCGCTGTGTTAGCAGGAAGTTCAGATGTGGGATGTGGACTTGCTTTTTTAAGATTTATATATTTTATTGGAAAGGCAGATTTACAGAGGAGATACAGAAAGAGATTTTCTGTTCTCTGGTTCACTCCGTAAGTAGCCACAACAGTAAGAGCTAATATGAAGCCAGGAGCCAGGAGTGTCTTCCAGGTCTCCCACACGGGTGCAGAATCCCAAGGCTTTGGGTCATTGTCTGCTGCTTTCCCAGGCCATTGGCAGTGAGCTGGATAGGAAGTGGAGCATCTGGGACATGAACTGGCACCCACACGGGATCCTGGTGTGTATAAGGCAAGGATTTAGCCATTGAGCCATCTTATCAGGTCCCAAATGTGGGCATCTTAACTGCTAAGTTGAATACTTGCCCCACGAGTAGTTTTCATTGCCAGCTCTTATATCCTGAAAATATACTGTACTTATTTACCAGTTCTAAGAGCATTTTTGTTAGTCACTTAGAATATTTCGTAATCAGGTTTTGTCACCTGCCTAGGTGTATTTTTACTTGTCCAGTCTGCATTCCTTTACTTAATTTTTTGGCCTCATCTTTGGACTAGAACCCCCTGTACAATATTAAATAGAAGTGACCAGACAGTGAACATCCTTACATTGTTTCTTTTCCTAGGGATAATGCATCCAGTCTCTCACCATTAGGAATGTGTTATTTGTGGGTTTTTCATAGATAATATTTATCAACTTGAGGAGTTCCCTTCTGTTGTTTTGTGAGTGTTAAATGATGTTGAACTCTGGCTGATGTATTTTTCTTTTTTTTAAGATTTATTTATTTTTGGGCCCGGCACGGTGGCACAAGTGGTTAAGGTCCTCGCCTTGCGCGCCCGGGATCCCATATGGGCGCCGGTTCTATCCCAGCAGCCCCACTTCCCTTCTAGCTCCCTGCCTGTGGCCCGGGAAAGCAGTCAAGGACGGCCCGAGGCTTTGGGACCCTGCACCCACATGGGAGACCTGGAAGAGGTTCCTGGCTTCGGATCGGCATAGCACCGACCGTTGCGCTCACTTGGGGAGTGAATCATCGGACGGAAGATCTTCCTCTCTGTCTCTCCTCTCTATTTAAAAAGATTTATTTATTTTTGTTAGAAAGGAAGATACACAGAGAGGAGAGACAGAAAAAGATCTTCCATTTGCTGGTTCATTGCACAAGTGGCTGCAATGGCCAGAGCTGAGCCTATCTGAATCCAGGGGCCAGGAGCTGCTTCCAGCCTACCACATGGGTGCAGGGTCCCAGGGCTTTGGGCCGTCCTGCACTGCTTTCCCAGGCAGGAAGCTGGCTGGGAAGTGGAGCACTGAGACACAAAACAGTGCCCATATGGGATCCTGGCAGGTGCAAAGCGAGGATTTAGGCACCAAGTCATTGCGTGGGGTCTGGCTGATGTATTTTCTATGTATATCAACATGGACATGTTATTCCCCTCCCCTTTATTGTAGTTTATTAGATTGATTTTTCTATGTAGAACCTACCTTTTGTCAGATATATCTCACATGGTCATGGCAGGTAATGTTTAGGATTAAATTTGCTAGTATTTTGTTGACTTTTTGCATATATGTTCACAAGTGATACTCATCTGTAGTTTTAGCTGGTGATGTATTTGCCTAACTTTGGTGTTAGAATAAATAAGCTGTGTCCAGAGTGAATTGAAAAAATATTCTTTCATTTTGGAGGAATATTTAGTATAAATTCTTTAGATCTTAGGATGTATATGATGAAAGGCTTTTATTTCTAAGAACTTTTCTGTTTGTGTTTCCAGCTATTTTTTCTAGGCCTGTCAGGGGTACCGTCCTTATCACCCCCTAATAGAAATCCCCCTCCCCAGCAAAATGTGAATTAATGTTACTTATTTATAATGACTGTGTGTGTGTGTGTGTGTGCGCGCGCACGCCTGATTTATTTCTTCCTTTAATGTGTTCTTTTTTTTTTTTTTTAACCTCCACAGGTAATAAAGAATGCTGACAGAAGAACCAGTCTCCTAATTTCAAATTGTTGAGCCAGTTGCCATGATGGGTAAGTTAAAACCAGAAGTAGTTTCAGCTTTAATTAAAGGCTAGAATGGGGTAGTGACATCTTTTCCTTGATTATTTTTTATGGTAGGTCTGTTTATAAATGCATTTTTGATGTGATGAGTTGACATTTTTTCCTAAATCAAGGTACTTTTTGTGTTCATTGTTTTCGTTTGGGGGTGCGTGTCTAAATAGGATAGTCGTTTAAAATGTGATATGAAGATGGACTTTGGTTTGCATAGAATCTTGTGTCTGAAGAGCTTAAATTTTTCTGTTTGATAGACGGAGAGGTATTTTCCTCCTGGCTCACTTGTTATATGCCCACAGCAGCCAGTGCTGTGCCAGGCTGAAGGCAAGAGCCTGGCATTCAGGTTCTGGGTGCCCCATGTACATGGCAGTCACTCAAGTCCTTGAGCTGTTGCCTGCTGCCTCCTATGGTGTGTGGAATTAAGAAGCTGGAACTGGCAGTAGAGCTGAGACGGAGACCCAGGCCCTCTGGCATCCCAAGCAGCAGGCAGCCCATCTACAATGCTGCCTGCCCTGCCCACATTCTTGACGGAAAGGAGAGCACACTGTGTCCTTGGGGCAAGTGTGTAAGTCAGAACTTCACCTGGTTTCTTTTTCAGTTTCTCTCCCACACTCTCTTTGGAAACTGTCAGAGAAGTGCCCTTCTCTCCAGTCAGCCTCATCTCTAACTCCAGACTGGATATGCTTCTATTTTTTTTTTTTAACTGAATACCTATTGGCTTTGCGTTTTGTTCACTCTCGCTTGCATTCTGGGCTACGTTTTATTCAAAGTGACATCAGTTATTCTCAAATAATACTGCACTGTAGTAAGCAACAAAGCATAATTCTTGCTTAAGAACATGTGTAAAGGTAGTTATGCACCTGGTACCACAACAGAGGACAGAGCACAGAACAAATCGATCAACTACCCCCAGCCAAGGGTTGGCAGTGAATAACTGGGCAAACAAAGACTCTATGGTGGACTGGGTCAATCAGTGACTTCTGGAGAGATTTCATTGTGCTTGGAGTGGCAGTAATTCGGAACCATTGAACTATTGAAACCTCCTGAGCTGGACCCTCAGAGCATGCCCCATGTGGGGCACCCTGGGGTGGTGTTGGGTGGCTGTCCTCCATCCCAGGGTGTAGAGGCGTTTGGGAGGCTTGGTGTGGCTTCTCTCCTTGTCTTTCCCCTTCCCCTAGATACAAGAAGGAAAAAAACAGAATGTGGAAATGGTAATCTCACCCACCTTCCTGTAGCCCTTGATCCTAAACACCCTAATCAACTATCTAAAAATCATCAAAAATAAAAATAATTTATAATTTTTAAAAGAAATGGTAGCCATGAACAGCTGGGACTATTGAAAAGTGTGAGTCACTGATAGTTGAATTTTTGATTGAGGATAATTGTTATTTTTCAAATATAATGAGAAAGTATATGAAATTTAATTCCGTGTTTTTGGCAAAATATTTTAATTTATGTCTCAGCTATTCTTTGGGATTTGTATTCAGCTGACTGTCCTTTTGTTGTATGTCAGAAATCTACTGCCTCTGCTGCGCTTTGGTCAGAGTCTGGGATCTTCTGGTGCCCTCACTGCCTTTTGGGTCAACTCAGGATCTTGAGGACATTGATTATCTGTCTGTCTGTCCTGCTTGATTGTCCTAGAACTACCACATTTTTAAAACATTTATTTGAGGGAGCCCGAAGAACTCGAGCCGAGATTCCTGTGTGGGTGGGAGGAATCCAGTTACACCTCCGCTGCCTCCCCTGCTCTGGTTAACATGAAGCTACAGGTGAACCCAGGTGCTTTGATACGGAACATGGGCATGTTAACTACTAGACTAATTGCCTGCCCCAAAGATGAGAGTTTGTTTCCAACTCTTAACATTGGTGAAGGGAAAGAATAAAATGAAGTCTCTCTTTTGTTTGCAAATGCTAAATAATATACTGAGGTAAAATTGTTCTCATCTCCCCAGTTTTTATTAAGAATTTAGATGCTTTGACTTTATTGGTGTTTTGTTTGGGAATCACAACACATTCATTTTATATCAGACCCATTTTGGTTCTTACCCTATGATGTTAAGTCATTGGAAGAATCAGAATGACTATTTTACCCTAATGGGACTCCTGTGTGGACCCCTATTCTGATACTGTGAGTCTGCACAGTTTTAGTGTTATTTGTCTTCAGAGATTTTTTTTTATATAGTTTTTAAATAAATTTTAACTTTGCTAGTATAGAATAAAAATGTTTCAGGTGTATTTTTTATTTTTTATTTTTTTTTAAAGATTTATTTTATTTTAATTACAAAGTCAGATATACAGAGAGGAGGAGAGATAGAGAGGAAGTGGAGCTGCCGGGATTAGAACCGGCGACCATATGGGATCCCAGTGCATTCAAGGCGAGGCCCTTAGCCACTAAGCCACGCCGAAAGGCCCAGGTGTATTTTTTATTAAACTAATGACTTTTTATATTAATTTTTATTTAAAATGTGCTTGAGGCCTATGATAAATGTAGAAATTTCAGTTCTGTATATGTTACTTTGAAAACCCATAGATGACCAACAGGCTTTGAACTCAATCATGCAAGATTTGGCCGTCCTTCACAAAGCCAGTCGGCCAGCACTGTCACTGCAAGAAACCAGAAAGACAAAATCTTCATCACCAAAAAAGCAGGTATTTGTTTCGTAGTATTTTTAAATTTTATTGTTTTATGAATTAATTGTCCTTTGAATCTGATTTAATTTAGAGTGAACACTCTATACTTTTGAATCAACTATTTTGTATTATATGTTTTTCTTTATAAGACTGTACATTTGGGAAGATGGTAAATTTCATTTTACAAGGTAACTGCTTTGCAAAGCCTATACTTTATTCCATTCCTCAGGCACTTAAGATTAACAGGTTGTGTTTGTTTTTTGCAAATAGAACGAGGATGATTTTGATGCTTACAAGTGAATGTAATTTGGGATTCCTGCATGAACAGTGCTAGTATAGAACTTAGGCATTCCCTGTAATAGGACCAGCAGATGCTACAGAGGCCTGATGCCTTCAGTCAGTAGGTCGGAAGATGCGTATCTTTTTGGCAGACACTGTTAGTTGATTGGAGCTGGCACTGAAAATGAAGCCTCTTTTGCCTTCTGCTCTAGAGGTGGTTAAGAAAAAAAATAACGTAGAAATGCTGGAAATTTTACATGATCTCTGAATGGTATTTGACTGTTTATTAAATTCCTTGCAGAATGACGTCCGAGTCAAATTTGAACATAGAGGAGAAAAAAGGTAAGGAAAAAAGTATTGCCTGGCATTTAGTTGATACAGTCAAGTGTATATTCTTCTCAAGCAGATTGGCAAGGGTCTTCCCAGACTTGAGTAAAATTTCATGGCTTATAAACTGATAATGAAATAATCTTTGGTGATCTTTATTGTGTACTTAGGCTTAAGATAAAATCTGTCAGAATTCAGACTCAACATTAGAAGCAATTAATGAATTTACTTTGCAATATTAGAATAGAAATAAGGTCACTACACATTTCAGGCTTTAAGTATTATAATTCTGTGTTATTTTTAATCATTGGAAATTAGATTTCTCCTTCCCAAAGTTCTATAATTTCTCTATATACATTATAAAGTTTTTGTCTGTGGATTTTATGTTCACAGTTTTGCTTATTCTCCAGTAAACTTGAGAACAGTGAATGGAACAGTGGCAGATATGTAAACCCAGTCTTCTCGGTGTCTGTGCCTCAGTGCCAAAGTGGTGGTGGTAGTTGCTGGCAACAGAATTGCTAATCAGAACTACAGGAATTAAAGAGGATAGGACTTCATGTCTGCTGCTAGTTTCCCATTAAATTAACTAAATAAAAAGCCCTTTAATTTTATATATCTAATGCGATTCACAAACCATATAACATGCAGGTTGTAAGCATATTTTACAGAGGTAAATGAAAAAGTATATAATATAATAGCTATAGAATTATCAGATCCCTTTCCTTGCTAATAAATGTTTTAATGTGTGTTTTCCGAATTCTAAAAAAGGGATTTACCACTGTTTATTAGTATTTACATGTCAGACCTGGGAGGACTAATGTGAATACAGCTAGCATGCTCTCTCCCCTTGTGGAGTGTCAGGTCTAGTATGGTTGTCTTCAGATTTTCGGCATATTCTCTTAAGGGACAGCACAGGCCAGTCTTCTGAGGTATAGGGAGAAAATGGTAGAGATTTGACTAAGAATTTTAATCACTTGAAATGTTTATTTTGGAGTTAGGCTTATATGGTATATATGCCCGAAAATGTTGAGAATAAGGACAAAATTTTAATTCATCGGCCTGGTGCAATTGCTCAATGGCCAGATCCTCACCTTGCAGGCTCCGGGATCCCTTATGGGCGCCGGTTTGTATACTGGCTAGTACATTTTGCATCCAGCTCCCTGCTTATGGCTCGCAACCTCAGTAGAGACTGGCCCAAACTCTTTGGAGCTTGTACCCTTGTGAGAGACCTAGAAAAGGCTCCTGGCTCCTGGCTTTGTTTCAGCTCAGCTCCAGCTATTGTGGCCACTTTGGGAATGAACAAATGAACCAGCTGATGGAAGATTTCTCCTCCTCTCCATGTATCTTGATTTGCCTTTCTAAAAAAATAAATAAATAAATAAAAATCTTAAAAAATAGTTTTCAAAGAATCACTTTCTTCTTTATTTTTAAAAATAACTATTTGAAGGGTTATGGAGAGAGGGGTGCCGGTTAGGGAGACTGACAAAGATGGTCTTTCTGTTGGTTTACTTCCCAAATGCCTGCAGCAGCCAGGTCTAGGCCAAGCTGAAGCTGAGAACCTGGAAGTTAGTTTGGGTCTCCCATCTCTGTGTTGCCTCCCAGGTGCACTTTGGCAGGAAGCTGAGACTTGAATTCAGGCTCTCCGATATGCAAGTGATATTTTAACTGCCTCTGCACCTAATAACCAACCAGAGAGATATCTTTCTTCTGCTGGTTAACACCCTAAATGGCTGCAGTGTCTGGGCTGGGCAAGGAACTAGATAGAAACTCCATCCAGGTTTCCTGTGGGTGACGGTGGCCCAAGTACTTGGACTGCATTGCGAATGGAGTAGCTGAGACTATAACTGGTTCTCTGGCATTCGGCGCCTGCACCAAGCACGATGGCTTGACCCACTGTGCTAGCACACCCCTCCCCATTTTCTTTTTAACAGCTTCATGACATTTTTTGTGAAGATGTGACATGGTTAAATTTAATTTCTTTCACCCTTAAAAATGTTATGTTGTAGTTTAATATCTGTGATGTAAATTAGTTATTTAGTGTAAATTAAATTCAGTAGAAATTTAAAAACTGCAAAAAATTGAAAAATTTTCTTATCAAATTTTTTATTAGAACAAACTTCAGAGTTTTTTTTTTTTTTTTTTTAGCTTTGTATTGACAATCTGTGCACTTGATTGAAAGGGCTGTTTTAGGGGATGGGTGTTGGACCTAATGGTTACCATGCCAGTTATGCCCCTGTCCCACCTCACGTGCACCTGTGTTCAGTTCCTGGCTCCTGCTCGTGATTAGCTTCTGTTCAAGAAGCTTCCGGGAGGCAGTGCTGATGACGAAAGCAGGAGCCCTGCATGGTATACCTGGTCCTAGCCTTGCCCTGGCCTGGTCCTGGCCATTGTGAACACTTGGGGAGTAACCTAGCAGGTGGGAGCTGGCTTGCTCTCTCTTCTGTCTCTCAAATGCTTACATTAGTAACACATGTTTTAAAAAGTAAGTTGTTGTGTTTAGGTAAAGTGAGCGCTTATGCAGTTTTTACTTAATTTTGTATCTCTCTAATGAATTAATTCTTATCAGTACATTATTTATGTCTAAAAAAATAAAAATACTAAAAAATTCTTCCCATACAGAATTCTTCAATTCCCCAGACCAGTTAAACTGGAAGATCTGAGGTCTAAAGCTAAAATTGCCTTTGGACAATCTATGGACCTACATTACACCAATAATGAGGTAAATACATATAATTTAACTTTTAGTACTTCTTTTGGAAAGTCATGTTTTTAAGACTGCATTTAGGATTGTTGTGTTTTCATTTGGGGATTGATTAGGATATGTGTCAGGAATTTGTCAAGTAAATTTGTAAATTTCAGCTGAGTGAAATGGATGTTAGTGTTTGTGGAAAGTAATGGAAGGTATCACTGAGCACATGATTGACTGGAGAGTCTGCTATAGGAGGAACTATATGATGTCAAAATACAGTGCAATAGGATACAGATGTTTAATTTGTACTCTGATGATGAACTGTCTTTTCCTCTCATATTCTGTACTTGGCTAGAGACATTAGAGCTTTGTCAGTCTTAGATAGTTAAAGCATAAGGGATTGTTTTAGTGTTGGTTAGGACATGATTCGTTCGTTAGTGCAAGTAATGTTGAGTGCTTGCCTGGCATGAGGACCTTTGTGTTTAGGGCAAATCCCTTTTCATCTTATATAAAATTAGTATGGGATAAGATGGTCTCCAAGGTTTCTTTCAGTTCTTGACAACCTGTGAGGTTTTGCTACCTTAAAACTCACAGAAATGATTTAATTAGTTAATTGGTTAATTTGTTTTTTGTTCTTAGAAGGTGTTCATTCCTAGTGTTAACAGATATGACATATGAATTACAGCTCTTCACAGAGGAGACATTGTAGAACTGTGCAAGAGGCAGACCACTGAGCAGTGGGCTGCTTAAAAGTAGGACATTCTTTGAAGGAAATGTAGACAGTATAATGATAAAGAATAAAGGCAAAAACAATAGATGTGCTATTTATAAGATTAAGGAAGACCTACACCGGAAATACTGGTGTGAGATAACATGCAGTGTGAGCATTTCAGCTGTCCACAGAATATAATGAAATTCTTAAATATGAAAAATCAGTCCTACAAAGAGTTTCAGAGAAAGATCCTGATTGGGAGAGTGCCTTGAGAGCAATGCATATAGAGATCGTAGGGAGGAAAAGATGTGTGTGTTTCAGGAATAGGAGAAGTACCATGGGGATGGGGTGACAATGGATAGCTTTGTAAAAATTAAAGCAAGGAAACATGTGAAGGCGCTTTGCCAGTGTTGGAACAATAGCACAGATTAAGTATCTGAATGTATTAGATTTTAAAGGATTAAAGAAAATGTTAATATAGGTTATTTAAAGAAACCATGTACTTTGCTAAGATGAATATATTTTGATAAATGAAAATTGTATCTCAAACACTATACTGCAGTGCTGTGTTGCAATTTTATCCTTTAAATGTTTTTTCTTTTAAAATTTATTTTTGGCTTTTAATTTTTAAATTTTTAAAAAGATTTGTTTACTTGAAAGGCAGAGTTTCAGAGACAGTAGAGGCAGAGAGATCTTCTACCTGTTCGTTCACTCCCCAGATGGCCACCGTGACTGGAGCTAGGATGTTCTGGGTCTTTACATGGGTTCAGGGGGCCAAGGCCTTGGGCCATCCTCCACTGTTTTCACAGGGCACTAACAGAGCTGGATAAGAAGTGGAGCAGCCAGAACTGGAACCAGTGCCCTTATGGTATGCCAGCACCACCAGCAGAGGCTTAACATACTATGCCATTGTGGTGGCCCCAAAATAGTTTGATTTTTAGTTAGGTACAAACACATTTTATTGGTCAGCCCCATCTCACCACTTGATATTTCTGTTCATGCTGCTTGATTTCCATCTGCCATTCCTTGAAATCCAAGGCTTTGCAAAAGACCTCAGGATCTGAGGATATGGGCCTCATGTATTTAGAGGTGGTGGTGCTGGTAGATGGGCCTCAGAGTTCGGGCGGGTGCTGGGGCTGCGTGTACCCCGTTACCCCGGGGGTTGGCTACTGAGGTGCATGGTCTTCTGGTCTCCTTCCTTTCTCTGTCTTCCCCATTCTCTGCTGCTGTTCCTGCATGTTTCCCATACAAATGTCCTGAACTGGAATCCGTATCTCACAATGTGATTCCAGGGGAACCTAGAGATGTTTGTACAGATTTAAAATTGTTTCATGGAACATTAAGCCTAATATCGTCTTGACCTACCCATTTAGAAATGGTTTTATTAAGAAGAATGAGACTTGTTTGACGTAGTTTGTCCCTAGAATTGCCGTTTGTTTTTGTTTTTTTCTTCTTCTTCTAAACTTTCCCAATTTGTTTATGTGATTTCTCTGGGGTTTTCTTGGGGATTGACAAAACTGTAGTTTCAGGAACCTTTCCTGTTTTTCTAAAAATTAGAAAATCTATCTTAAGTTTATTTTTCTTACGCTTTGTGAAGGATTTTTAGAAGTGATTTTGCCTTACATTTGAGTGGACTGGTGACAAGAATGTGAAAAGGTTGACATATTTCTTGCATATTTTCTGAGAGTCTGTGTGATTATGTGATTAACCATATCCTTCCTGATTGACATCAGGAAATAGTGTCCTGAACTAAATGCATGACCTTAAATGTAGAGGGAACTAGGAAAACCTTACAAAAGTTTCTAGTTTTGTGGACCTGTGGACAAATGAAAAACTCATTCATACTGCATAACATTCTGCTTAAATAAATACTTCTGGTGTTGTATCATTCACTCTGTTCAGGAAGTTTCTGTTACCCTGTGAACTTGTAGTTTGACAGAACTGAAACAACCAGGAAATTTAGGCTGACTGGTTTGATATGTTAGCTGTCTTTTGTTTTTCTAATCAGGTGCTGACTGTACTGGTTTTTGTGGGAGATTTTTGGAGACCTGCCTTGCTTTAGATGAGAACAAGAAACCCTTTCTGTGGGCTATTCTCATGCTTCACTATGTTCAGTCAGAAAAACAATTCACTCTATTGCAAAGTTTAAGTTCTATTTGTTGTGTTCTTGAATTATTTTTTCCTTTCCAGAAAGGATTTATATTAACAGGCTATTATTTATTTGTTTATTTAGATTTGTTGATTTTTATTTGAAAGGCAGCGTTCCAGATAGGCAGCGGGGAAGAGAGATCTTTGATCTTCTTTTGTACTCCCCAAATGGACACAGCAGCCAGAGCTGGGCTGTTCCATAGCCAGGAATTGGCAGGTTCTTCCAGATCTCCCTCATGCTGCAGGGATGCAAGTGCTTGGGCCATCCCCAGGCACATAAGCAAGGAGCTGGATCAAAAGTTAAGCAGCTGAGATTTGAACTATCACCCATAAGGGATACCAGCATTGCACGTGGCTACTTCAGCAGCTGTGCCACAGTGTTGGCTCCACATAAAACTGTTTTATGAAAAGTAAGCCAGAAGAAAATAGATTTCATGAATGGTGCTGGAATGAGTTTACGAAGCAGGAAAATACTGTTTTATTTAGTATAATTTAGATAAACTGCGACTTGCTCTTGACTCGCATTCTGGTTTTCATCATTTGTAATAGGTGACCTTGGAACATTGGAAGGAACAGGGCTATAAAATAAAGTATGTTGATGGGAGGAACAAGATGTGCCGGTATGACTAGTAATTGGTAGGATAAGGAATAGAATTTAGTTAAGCATGTTAGTAGATCAGACTTGTTTGTAATATCAAGTAGTTAACGATTTTTTTTTCTATTAGGAAAAATTACTTTTTAAAAAAAGGAGCATGGTGCTCGCTTCAGCAGCACATATACTAAAAAAAGGAGCTCAGTTGGTGGGTTACTTGGAGTAGTACAAAATTAGCTGTAAACAGAAATTGGGACTCAAATTGTAAAGTATAAGCAACTGTATGATGGAATTTGATGGAATTCACATTAATCCTTCCTTGTCTTTTAAGATTTATTTTGGCCGGGCTAGGCTATTCTGAAGCCAGGAGCATAGATCTTCTTCTGGTCTCCCGCATAGGTGGCAGGGGCCCGGGTACTTGGGCCATCTTTCTGTTGCATTCCCAGATTCTCAGACATGTTAGCAAGGAGCTGTATCAGAAGTGGAGCATCTAAAACTGGCACCCGTAAGGGATTCTTCTTTTGTAGGCAGTGACATAATACATTGTGCTATATAGCATTAACTTCATTCTTGTTAATTCTTAAAACAAGAATTTTTTTAATGAAGAAGTTAGTGGAGAAAAATGTATGCCGTGCTAGCTAATGGATTGGGGTACATGGATCTATCCATCTTTGGTTTACTGTTTCAAATGGTTGCAGTTGGCTCAGCCTGGGTCAGAATGAAACCAGAGCCTGGAACTCCATCTTGGTTTCAACATGGGTGTCAGGGGCCCAAACATTTGGGCCATCTTCTGTCACTTTCTCAGGAACACTATTCGGGAGTTGTCACAAGTGAAGCAGCTAGGATTTGAATTGGTGTGTGGGGGATGACAGTGTCACAGGTGACAGCTTAACCTGCTATACCCAAAGGCTCCTCTTCCCCTAGAGAACGTTGACCAAGTCTCTTCTCTTGGCTTTGCTTTGTGGTTATTGCCGGTTGGGTGGGTTTTGCTCACAAGGGATTTATACTGTAGAGTGACTCATAGGCTGTTCTAATTATGGCAAGTTAGCAAGTGTGGAATGTGTTCACTTGCAATTCTGTTTGTCTTTCACTAAAATAGAATGTACTTTGAAGTTTTTGACATCTTAAGATTCTAAGTTGACATTTTTAAAGTATTTTTGAGTTTGTTAAATTGTGTGAATCAGGCTTCTTCTCACAGACCTCCCAGGTGCCTTGTCCTCCCCAAACAGTTGATAGTGAGAGAATTGATGAAAGCAGAGTCCACATGTTTGACCTTTTTTTTTTGTGCTTTTAAAAAATTATTTTTAATATTGTCTGTACAATTGTGAAGGATGCATGTCCATGTGGTCCAGGTATGGAGGAAGGTGATTGGGATAAATATTTGAAGTTATTTTTTTCTCTCCCATGTCCACAGAAGGGGAAAGAGAGGAGGCCACTGCTTGCTGTCAAACTACAACAGCCGGGGATGGGGGATTGTCATCTGATGACACCTTAGAGACCCTGATGTAGGGAAGAGTGTTCTGAAGTGTTCCTTGAGTGGTTTTGATAGTTCTGAGACGTTGTTGGCTTCATTGAGAAAAATCTTTCTAAGGTCTATTGACTGACCAAGTCCACCTTAGTGCATCTACAGACCCAGACCCTTACAGCAAAGTTTGGCTAGGAGAATTGTCCAGCCTGTCCTGCTTTCCATCCCCCTGGCCTAGATGAGCTGCTGTCATGTCCCCTGTGTGCACCTGGGCATGCTCTCCACTGCACAAATATCAGCAATTGAGGCCCACTTCTGACTCATGCACTCCAAGGTTAGGCCACATATCTTGTGATTTTCCCTGTGGCCAGGGTTTGACTCCTCTTCTGGGGTGACCTCAGACTTGACTCTCGTGTATATCAGCCAATGCAGGGTGTCAGGTTGTTTATCACCTGTACAAGCCAGCACACACACAGGTGGATGCAGCTGCCTGGTCAGTTCTACCCCAGCCCCATCTCCCATGTGAACTGATGGGTGTTGCAGTCTAGCCCAGCCCAGCCTGACATAGGCCTGGTTCTTGTGCACCAGTGGGTGCCACAACCTAGTCAGTGTGACTCTTAGTAACCCGCACCAAGCCTGCCCCCAACTCCAGTTTTTGCATGTTGCTGGCATGTACTGTGTCCTAGCCCAGTCCATCTTGTATCCCATCTGGCTCTTGTGTACACCTGTGGGTGGTATGACTTAGCCTAGCCAGGCCCTCCCTCAGATTCTGTCCACACATATGCTGATGCCTTGTCCAACTTAGCTCACCCCCAGACCCAGTTCTCATGTGACTTAGCCCAGCCTGTTCCATACCCATTCTGGCTCTCGCAAGTATCAGCAGGTGCTGGGGCCTAGCCGAGTCTGTCCCACCCCCAGGCCCAGCCCACATGTGTGTCAAGGGGTACTGCATCCTTGCCCAGCCCTGTATGCCTCCAGCCCCAGTTCTTGCACTCACAAGTGGGAGCTGCAGCCTAGCAGGGGGATCCCTAAAGTTCCATCCCAGGTCCGTTCCCAACCCCGAACCTTGTGTGTGTTGATGGTAGGTGCCTTGACCCAGCCCATCATGTCCTACACCCTGCACTGGCTCTTGTGCCTGCGAGCTTGTTCCCAGACCTGGCCCACACACATACCAATGAGTGCTGCAGCCTTGCCTGGCCTAACCCACCCCCAGCCCTGGCTCTTGTGCTCCCCAAAAGGAGCTACAGCCTAGCAGGGCATTCTCCAAATTCCTCTCCCAGGTCCACTACCAGCCCCAGATCTCATGCGTGGTGGTGGGTGCTGTGGATGCTGCAGCCTGGCCCAGCTCGGCTTTCTCCCAGTCCAAGCTCCTGCAAGTGTCAGATAGGTTGCGTGATCCAGGCTGACTCTGCCTGTCAGCACCCCCAGCTCTCTGTAAAATGGCAGGTTCTGCAGTCCCACAGGGGTAAGCCCACAAATTCCCTATAGAATCTATGCCCAGATCCATTTCTGTTGTGTTCTGGTGGGTGCCTCACATCCCCTGTCCTGACACTTGCCCTCCGGTAATATGGCCTACCTAGCCCAGCCATGCATGCCCTCCAGCCCCAGCTTTCCTGTACCAGTGGGCCCAGTCAGATCTACCACATGGGTGTGTGTTTTGACCTGACCTAGACTTGTCCTCTGATTTTTTTCCCCCTCCAAAGCACTCCATATCAGCTCCCTCGCCTACCTGTGAGTATAGTGGCCAGATCCGTGGAAGCCCCCAGAAGTCACTTCTCCTATGTCAGATGTGCCCTCAGTGGTTCCCACTTCAATATGTCCCCCGTGACTCCCACTCGTATGTGTCTCTAGACCCCCTTCCCCAGGCAACCTGCCTTTCTCCCATGCAGGAGGTATACATTGTGCCTGGGGACTGAGGCAGCATGTCTCTTGGCCTTCCCCACGTGTCTTTAAGCGAAAATAGAATAGAATAGGCAGCTTTGCTGGCATACTGGTATAGTTAACACAGATTTGGTATTAACCAGACCCAGGATGCCTGCCAGCTATTGGCTGCTTTTTTCCCAGCAGTGTAACACTTGCCCAGGTACAAGGCAACCTAGGCAGTTTCCTACTACAGGGGACAGAGTCCACATTTAGAGTTGATGATATGACTGTTCCATGCAGTTTCTTTAGGTGTCTGGTGGTCGGGTCACCAAGGTCAGAGGGCTGTGCCCAGATGAACTGTGGATTGCATGTGTTGCTTATGGCAGCTCCTGGGTGTTGGTGTGCTGACACGCTGGAAGAGAGGATGAGCCTGTTTACTAATGGGAAAGGCACTGAGAGTTTCATCTTTGCAGATGAAGAGTTGTACTCCTTTACATCATTTGGGGATGAATAGATTGTAACAAATTTAACAGTATTGTGGAGAGATCTTAGAACATTCATTTTAAAGCATGTAATTAATAAGGGAAATGTTTTAAATGTTTAGCCTTATTTATTGAGTTGTCACTGGTGGCAGGATGGGGAGAGCTAAACAATATAGAATCATATGTTTATTTAGACTTTCATTGAAGTAAAATATCAAAGAGCAAGATATTTTGGGATTTGTAATTCCTTGGTAAGAACAGTGGAAGAACTTGATCTGGTGAGATGGTTGCATGATTCTTAATTTTCCTTTTTTGTTTAGTTAGTAATTCCATTAACTACACAAGATGACTTGGACAAAGCTGTGGAACTGCTGGATCGTAGTATTCATATGAAGAGCCTCAAAATATTACTTGTGACAAATGGCAATACACAGGTATGAGTTGGAGGGTTTTTTTTCCAATAGTAATTATAGCATTTAAGCCTGTAAAAGCCAATATTATTATTATTATTATTATTTCAGATGATGTTTACGTAGTTCATCAGGGTGGGAAGGATCTCAGGTTAGGGAGAAGTGTGTGTGATCCTTGTTTCTGAAATTTCTATTTCTTCTTTCCATTTCTGGTGTGAAGGGGGAGATAAGAGGGATAGACCATACCCAGCCTGCAAATTATCCCTGTACCCAAGCATGAGGAAAGACCACCTGATAATCAACCCAGGGTCCCAGTGTGGCACATGGTCCAAAGGTGGCGCATGCCCAGGTGGATGCGATAGTTCTGAAATGCTGTCGATCTCACTGATCTGTGGATAAGAAATCCCTTCCAGTGTCCACTGGCTGACACAGTCAACTTTATAGTCTCCATTTGCCTAGATATTTTGCTGCCATCATTTGGCTTGGATAGTTGTCCGTATGTTCTGTTCTCCATTCTCTGCTATGGTACCAGATGTCCTCTGCAAGCCCCAATCAGCTACCATGTCCTCCATGTGCACCATGGTCTGCTGCCCAGCACTCCATCTTCTATACTGTGGAGGACCACTTCTCCTAGGTGGGCTTATGGACCTGAGTCAGGTGACCTGGGCCAAGCTGGTCCCCGCACCCCTGGAGCTCATGGACCTGGCACCCACCACACAGATGGACCCAGGGACCTGGGCCAGGAGACCCAGGCCCTTCCAGATCCCCACCCCTGGGGCTCACAGATCTAGTACCCACTGTGCAGGTGTGCCCTCAGACTGGATGTAATAGCTTTTCTCTCCTCGGCATCCACCAGTGGGTACTTCAGCCTAGTTTAATCCATTCTACCCCTAGTTCCAGCTTGTGCTGTTTGGTGCTGCAACCTAGTCTTGCCCAGCTTGAGTGCGAACTGACTGGTGTTGTGGCCCTACTCAGCTCATCTCACACCCCATTGGCAATTCTTGGATCTGCCATTGGATGTTGTGAATTGACCCAGCCTGGCCCACTCCTTGACCTGACCCACGTGTATGCCAGTGGGTACTGTAACCTAGTCTGGTTTGGGCTGCTTCTTGCCTTAGTTCTTGTACTTCCTGCAGGGGCTGCAACCTGACAAAGGACTTCACCAAGCTTCTCTGTCTGGTTTCCTCTTAGCAGCAGATCTTGCACATGCCAGTGGGTCCTTGGCCCAGGTTGATTTTGTTCACCTGTTGTCATGGCAGGAACAGTGTCCTTGCCCAATTGGCCCATACCCTTTCCGGTTCTTACTGTTAGGTGTTACAGCCTAGCCACACTTGGTCCATGCCCAGACACAGCTCTCACGTGGTTCGGTGAGAGCTGAGACCTAGCCTAGCCCATTCTATACGCACCCTGACTCTCATGAGTATCAGTGGCTGTGGAGTCTAGCCCAATCTGGCCCTCTCCAGGCTCAATCCACACCTTTGCCGAGGGAGATTATAGCCATGTTCAGCTCAGCACAATGCACCAATTCTGGCTCTCGTGTTCACCAGTAGGATTCCAGTCCATCCAGGGCATCCCCTTAGCTCCCCAACCAGGCCTGTTCCCAGGCACATGTGCCAATAAAGATTGCTGTTCTACATGGATAAGCCCATATACTCTCCTGCAGATTCTACCCCCAGACCTGATTCACTCAGGTTTATCAACTTCATGGCCCAACCTCACAGCACCGTTCCCTTTTCTGACACTTGCTGGTGGGTTCCATGTTGTAGCCCTTCAAGTACAGTGCCTTGTCCATGGAAGTTTCGGAGAAATCATCCCTCAGCTGGACATGGACCCTAAGGCCTCTGACATCCCCACCTGTGCCATCTTCCAGATTCTCTGTAACCCCACAGCTCCAAGTTTCCAGAGTGCACTACCAGGCAACCCAAGGGCTTCGCCCAGCACCGTTGGCACCTGGGCCACTTGGCCCAAATTTCCCCAACTGCGGCCACGCAGCTGGGAGAGTCAAGCCCCAGTGCCTCAGCCCAGACTCACCTGAGCTCCACCCACAGCATGGCGGTGGTAGGTGGAACCAGGGTCCTGAGCATGCCTGGACCTGCTCAAGTTCCACCCACAGCATGGTGGCTGTGGAAAGAGAGATTTCTTGGGCCTCATGCCCGGGGCAGCTCCAGATTTGATCACCTCATAGCATCAGTGGATGGAGCCGTGATCCCAAGGATCTAGCCTGGCCTGGCCTGGTTTCCCCTGGCTGCAGTCACGCAGTTGGGAGAGTCAAGCCCCTGCACCTTAGTCAAGACTCACCATGCCATTGTTTAAAACATAGTTTTTATTCCTTTTTCTTTCTTTCTTTTTAAAAGATGTTTGTATTTATTTGAAAAGCAGTTATATTATATACAGAGGGAGCAATCTTTGATCTGCTGTTTTACTCCCTGAATGGCTCTAACAACCAGGGCTGGTCTGGTGGAAAGCCAGGAGCCAAGAGCTCCTTCTAGGTCTCCCACTTGAAAGCAGAGACCAGGTATTTGGGTTATCTTCTGCTGCTTTTCCAGGTACATTAGCTGGGATCAGAGCTGGATCAGAAGTGGAGCAGCTGGGATTAAAACTGGTGCCCATGTAGGATACTGGGGGTGGCTTTACCTGTCGTACCAAAGTGCCAACCTCCATAGTCATATCCTGTAACCATCGCTATATTTCCAATATAGTTAAACATAAAAATACATACTTTAATTGCTACTGTTTAATAACCTTGCTCCTCAAAACTGAAAGTCAATAATTACAAATAAATATAATATTTTGATAACATGAAGCTAATAGAAACTGATAGTTTGGGAAGAATTAGAATTAAAGTATCAGGGTATCAAATTTGATAAGACCTACAAGCAATATAAACTAGCTAGACTGTATCTATAGGGGAAAGGATTCTATTGAAAAGTCCTAAAGGGGAAGAGTAGCATTAAAGTTGTCACGTTTCCTTTGTAGGTTACTAATCTAGAACCTTTGCCATCACTAGAAGATTTGGATAATACAGTATTTGGAGCAGAAAGGAAAAAACGGCTTTCTGTAATAGGTAAGAAAGTTCGCGTCTGAATCTTGCAGTGGCTGATTCCTCACGTCTTCTCTGTCTTCCGGAACATGTCTCTGATAAACGCTATTCCATTTCTGTACTCTCTGTGACTTGTCTAAGTGAGCTACATTCTATCTAATGTCCTTTGGAAATTCATTTCAGGTTTTGCAAGATTTGCTATCTCTACTTTAAATTCTTTGTCCGAAATATTTTAATATTTGAAAAATTTAAATAAAACCTCAAAGGGGTTCTAATTGTTTAAATGAATGAAGAAAAATAGAAAGGATATAATTCCAGTGTATTAAAATTGATAATATACTAGATAGGATTTTGTTATTGCTAAAGAATGTTGTTAAATTAGCGATGGAATTTCCAGATTATGTTCCATTAGTTTATTGGTATACAGTTGTTACTTGTCACTGACAATATGATGTTGTAGTCAAACTCTTGGTTTAAGGAAATGAGTATCGTGTTTATTGTTTTTAAGGAGGGCTTGTTAATGAGGCTTGGTCTAGGCAGAGGCTCTCTAACAGTTTGCTGCTCCTCCCTCCGTTCTGTGCAGCTTCATCAATTAGTGTAAAACATTGATAATGCACATCTTATATGGTAACATTACTTCATTGGTCAAAAATAGATATATAATTTTTTTTAAAAGTATTTATTTTGAATTGAAATTTTACCAAATACCTTAATCTCAAGCTGTTGATAAATGTTCTTGTTATTTGACTTGAGTGCCAGAGTAGAAAGAAATTTGAAATTGTAAGGACATAGAATTAATAGTTTGGGGTTTTTGTATGTTTCTGGGGAGAAGCGGGGCAAGCCATTCCTCTATACTTGGAATGAAGTTGACACATAACATATGAGCGTTTCTCTTTTCCTTAATTGTTGATATTTACTCCCTTTAGTTAGTTCTTTTCATAAAAGCTAGCACGAGGAAAGCTTCTTTGGGGTGAAGGTGTATGCTGGTGTGCAGATCTCAACTGACTTACAGTTGTCATCCTAGTTATTAACAAAAGCGAGCAAAAATGGGCTGTCAAGTGAAGAGATAAAGAGGTTTTCATCACCTTATTTCTTCACTATCTCCTTTTGATAATTAAGTATATTGACGTCTTATAAATAAGGGCATCTGGAGGAATAGAAGCATTAGAGACCAATATGATCATTGTGGCTAGTTATTTACAGAACCCAAATCTATGCTGACTCAAAGTTGAGCCTCTAATCATTTGATAGAGAAGTGTAGGTGATTTCTTTTATGCACCTCTCTTGGTAATTACCATGCCATCTCTTTGCCTGTCTCACTAATAAATACTAGCATTTTTTAAAAATTTATTTTTATTGGAAAGTCAGATATAGAGAGGAGAGACAGAGGAAGATCGTTTGCCCGCTGATTCTCTCCCCAAGGAGCTGAACCAATCCAGTGCCAGGAGTCAGGAGCTTCTTTAGGGTTTCCCATATGGGTTCAGGGCCCCAAGGCTTTGGGCCACCCTCCACTGCTTTCCCAGGCCAGAAGTAGGGAGCTGGATGGGAAATGAGTCTGCTGGGATACAAACCAGCCCATACAAGCTGAGGACATTAGCCACTAGGCTTCTACGCCAGGCGCCACTAGCACTTATTTTAAATGACCCTTTTATGTAAAGCTAAAGCCTTTTAGCCTTAAATTTGTCTTGCAGTGGCATTTAGCCTATGGGTTAAAGCAGCAGTTAGTACATAGTTCAGTCTGTGTTGGAGGGCCTGGGTTTGATGCCCAATTTCAGCTTGTGATTCCTGCTCCTCATCAGTGCAGATCCTAGGAGCTGGTGGTAATAACTAAGTAGTTGGATTCCTGCCACCTACGTGGGAGACCTGGGTTGAGTTCTTGGCTTCAGCCCTGACCTCGCCTCGGCTGTTGCAGAGGGTGAATGATTAGATGGAAGCTGTCTGCTTGCTTTTAGAACAGATGTTTTGGACTTATTTATTTATTTGAAAAAGCAGCGTTAGAAAGTAGCAGAGATGGACAGAAATCTTCCGTCCGCTGGTTAACTCCCCCAATGGCTGCAGCGACCAGAGCAGGGTCTGATCAAAGCCAGGAGGCAGCAACTCCATATAGGTCTCCCATATGTGTGACAGAGCTGCGAGTACTTGGGCTGTCTTCCGCTTCCACAGGGCAGGTTGGATTGGCAATGGAGCAGCTGGGAAAAACTAGCATTCTTATGGGATATTGGCGTTACAAGCCTTAGTACAACTCTTACCTTCCATTTTTCTAAACTACTAAGAAATTTGGAATCCAGGAGTAATGTTTGCCATGGGAAAAGCCTAATTTGAAGTAACTCAAAATAAAATTAAAAATTAAAAGTTACAAATACTCTGATATGTGGTAAAATGGCTGAGAAGTAGCTTCACTTCAAATTTCTGAAGATTAAAAGTTTGAATGGAAAAAAAATACATAGCTAAATAAACATGGTGTGTGTTCAGTACGAGTGATTGTGCCGTCATGACACATGCTTGGAAGGGAGTTAGTTTTCATTTTTGGAGATGAGAAAGTGGCTAATGAAGATTGGTAATTTTCTAGTTTTACAAACATGAATGTTCTGTAAATTTTATCAGATAGTGTTTTGTTTGCTAAAATTAATGCAGTTCAGAAATATAGCCTACTCAGTTAAAAATTTATTTATAAGAGTCCACATAATTTTTTTTTCTTTGAGGTTCCACTAGTAGAGACAGAAGTTCCCCTCCCCCAGGATACATTCCAGATGAATTACACCAGGTTGCCCGGAACGGGTCATTCACCAGCATCAACAGTGAAGGCGAGTTCATTCCAGAGAGCATGGACCAAGTAAGTGGAAGCTTGATGTTCTTGTCCATCTTATTTAGGTAGGATTACTGTCAGGCACAGGGTGGCTTTTCAGATTTGTGTGAGAGAGGGGGAGAAAGAAAGATTCTTCTCCAGGCCTGTTTCTTCCTTCTTAAAGGAAGATGCCTCCTCATGTGTGCCCTGTATCAATTGATACCAAAAGAAAACTGAAATAGGACTGATTTTCTTATATTGCTCATTCACAAATGCATTATTTATAAAAGTGTTTGTTTGGGAATCCTAGGGTTAGCATTCAAGTTTTTTCTATGTTTGAAAGAGTAAAACTGCAACTTTTATGAAGTGAGAGTGTCATTTTAAAATACTTGCTTTGTTGTACTGAGCTGTCTCTATAGTTACTGTGGCTTCCTTAATTTTGTGCTGGATTCTCCAGGGCTGCAGGAGCTTCACCTGACATTTTGTAGTGCTGAGGCAATCTCCGTTATCTCCTTATTATCAGTTTTTATTTCAGTGAGCTGTGTTCAATATCAAGTGAGCAAAATTATGTGACATATTTTAATTATTTAGCTAACCGTCTCTAGAGAAAGTATGTTTTCTCTTACAAAGTTCTGAAGTCGTGGTTTACCTGGCTTTGGGGGATAGGCTTTCTTTCAGAGATAGTCAAAATGTTCCAGAACTGGTAAGGGTGGCACACTGTAAGTGTACTGGAAGCCCTTGAATTGTATACTTCAAATGGATGAGTTTTACATTACATCAATATAGTTTACAATAAAGCAGTTTGAAAAAGCCATCTTTTGGCTGTGTCAGATCAAATCATGATAATTTTTTTTTTCCCCCAGATGCTGGATCCCTTATCCTTAAGCAGCCCTGAAAATTCCGGCTCAGGGAGTTGTCCGTCACTTGATAGTCCTTTGGATGGGTAATTGATAATAGTTTTGTTTTTTTAACATATGTGAATAAATGTGCACGCATATAGTATACTGTCAGTAACTTCTGTGCTATTTCTGGGTGAATAATTAACAGCTACTTGTCTACAGGTACCTCATCTTGATAAATTTGCAAAGTTTAAAGGACTCCGTATCTTCAGTATTCTTTCTTGCCAAAAATTGCCAAGATTGTGTGATTGTTAAAGGCAAATATGCATTAAAATCTATGTGTGTTTACTATTATTATTTGAGATTTTTTGAAGGTTTATTTATTTGAAAAGTAGAGTGACAGAGGGAGAGACAGAGAAGTCTTCCTTCCACTATCTATTCCCCAAATGTCTGAAGTGGCCATGGCTGGGACAGGCTGAAGCCAGGAATCTGGTACACTATTCCGGTCTCGCACTGGACCGTGTTCTGCTGCTTTCTCTGTCACGTTGGCAAGGAGCTGGATCTGAACTGGAGTAGTTAGGCATACACCATCACCCTAGTATGGAATGCCAGTGTCATAGTGCCACAATGTCCCCCTACATTTACTTTTGGAAAGTCAGATATATAGAGAGGAGGAGAGACAGAGAGGAAGATCTGTCCGATGATTCACTCCCCAAGTTAGCGCAATGGCTGGTGCTATGCTGATCCAAAGCCAGGAGCCAGGAACTTCTTCCGAGTATCCCACACGGGTGCAGGGTCCCAAGACCTTAGGCCATCCTCGACTGCTGCTTTCCCAGGCCACAAGCAGGGAGCTGGATGGGAAGTGGAGCTGCTGGGATTAGAACCGGTGCCCATATGGGATCCCGGAGCATTCAAGGCGAGGATCTTAGCTGCTAGACCACACCGCTGGGCCCTACATTTACTTTTAAAACATGTTTGTGAAACTACTGCCAAATATTTCGTTAAATGTTTGAATTTGGAGGGTTTCTGAGTTACTGCACTTATTCAGAATTATGCTGTTTCTGATACCAGGCTCAAATAACTTAGATTCTTGATCACTGTGGCCCAGTGTGTTGCTTATCATTTCAAATATGTAAGCTTTTTGTGAGGTAGCTGTGGAAGAAAATAGGCAGCTGTGAGCTGCTTATTCAAGGTACTTCTTCTCCTGGTGTGACAAGGGTGATGTTGATTGGGGTTGCCTTGTAGCACCGCTCTGTACTAGAATCTGTGTGAAAGCAAATTCTGGAAGAGGACTAACACTCTTGATAATGTCCACTGAGCTTTTTCTTATCCGTATATATGAAGCTTCTGTGTCAAATTCCTCAAGGCATTTGACATTTGCGAAGCTCAGAGTGAAGGAGTGCCCCCCTCCATATCCTTCCCTGCAAGCACAATAGGAAAAAATAAAAGCTGAAGCCTGTATTGCACACACTTTCTTCTACACTTGACCCTTTCAGAAGCCCGCATGGGCGTGCATCCCTCTCAAGTATGTAGAAAATATTAAAAAGAATATAAACATTTTTTTTAAAGAACCTCAAACTGATGATACTACAGTTACGTGTTGAGTGCTTAATGTTTGCAAGACACTGTCCTGCACCTCTCATTGTTTACACTTGATGATGTGGACATTATGTTTTATAAGAAGCAATCTCAGGATTGCCAAGTTTACACAGTTAAGTGGCAGAGCTTGGATTGAAACACCGGTTTTTAAATGCTAGTGAATAAAAAAAAAATTCATCATTCTTACCATCCTATTCTACAAATTAATGTTTAAAGTAGCTATTTGCCTACATGGACTATGTGTTTAATGAGTTTCTCTTTAATTATGTTACCATTTCTGAGTGAGGTCTTTCTTAAACACATATCTGAGGATATAAAATAAAAGAAACCCAGCTTCATTTTCTCCTAATACACTGTCCTGACACAGAAAGTGTCTGGTGAAATGTATGGGAGTTTTTTTCTTCACAAACCAAACAAGCAGTGAGTTATAGTGGTCACCAGTTAGTAGGCTCTGATTCAGCTTTTCCCACAGTGTACCTGGAGGCTGTCAGATCCTGCAGGCTGCGGGCTGAGGTCCCAGGTTCCAAGACTGCCACTCCCACCAGGCCAGTGTAAGCCCCATCTGACAGATGAGGATTTCAGGTTCCTATGGCTCCTGTTCAGGTTCCATTAATTTGCTACATACAGCAGCTCAAAGAACTTGAGGGAAACACGTTTACAGGTGAAGAGATATGTGGGGCCAGCTATTAGGGAAGGAGGGGGAACCTCCAGGCCTTCTCAGAACACAGCAGTCTCTAGGATACTTTGTGTGTTCCCATACAGGATGCTCTCCAAACTCTGTTTCTTTTGGGTGTTTATAGAAGCTACATTTCTTGGGTAAGACTGAGTATCTAACAGACCACTGGTGGTTAATAATTTTTTTTAAGAAGGCAGGGTTACTACTATTTATTTCAGTCTGCTTGAAAGAATGACAAAGAGAAAGAGATGCCATTCTTTGGTTCATCCACAGTAACCAGGAGTGGCAGAAGCCAGGCACCTAGACCGCTCCATATTCCATCACCTGCCACTCTGCAGGGTGCGTTACAAGAAGCTGGATCAGAAGTAGAATAGCTGGGAGTCAGACTGGCACTCTGATACAGGGTGCCAAGCCAAGGGATGGCTTAACCTGCTACTCCAGGGTTCCTACCATCATTCATGTTTGTACTTCAACCCTTTTCATGGAGGTATTTGATGGGACTTACAGATCCCAAAGATTTTAGGTACTGCATTTCTGAAAATAAAGACCTAATGGAGGTATTATTTAAAGGCATTTAAAAATTATTGTATTTATGTACTTTACCCTAATGTAACATTTTTTATTTTTAGAGAGAGCTATCCAAAATCCCGAATGCCTAGGGCACAGAGCTACCCAGATAATCATCAGGAATTTTCAGGTTTGACTATTGAAAATCTATTGTTTGTACCATTGAATTATGTTTGGTTGGGAGGAAAAGGGTAGCTGTTTGAAAAAATCAAGTTTTTTTTTTTTTTTACAAACATAATTTTATTCATTAGAAACTTTTTTTTACTTGAAAATCAAAGAAATAGATAGATCTTTCTTCTGTTAGTTCATTCCTCAGAATCCCAAAACAGCTAGCAGGATGCAGTGAGGAGCCAGAAACTAGATGTGATGTTGCTAGCAAGGATCCAGCTCCTTAAGCCGTCACCTGCTGCCTCCCACGGTGTATGTTAGCAGGAAGCTGGGATAGAAATCTAGTCGTTCTGATATACATTGCAGAGGTCCCAAGCCACAATCTAACCACTGTACCAAGTGCCTGTCTCCCAAATAAAATGCAGGGTTTTTTACAGCCTTGGAAAATTGTTTTTCAAGGATAAAGTTACTTCCTTTCCTGATTTTTTTTTAAATAAGATAATGAATTTTATTTATTTGAAAATCTGAGTGACACAGAGAGATGGCCACAGTGGCTAAAGCCAGGAGCCAGTAAGCTGCATCAGAGTCTCCAACATATGTGGCAAGGGCCATCGTCTGCTGCCTTCAGGCACAGGAGCAGGGAGCCAGATTGGAAGTAGAACAACTGTGGTGCCAACTGGTGCTGTTGTATGGGATCGGCACCATAGAGCACAGCTGAACCTATTGCTCCACAACACTGACCCTGCACACACATTTTTAAAGAAAGATTCATCCATTTTTATTGGAAAGGCTAATTTACAGAGACAAAGAGACAAAGATCTCCCATCCACTGGTTCACTTCCAAGTGGCTGGAGCTGATCTGATCTGATCTGAAGCCAGAAGCAAGAAGCTTCTTCCAGGTCTCCCACATGAGTGCAGGGTCCCAAGGCTTTGGGCCATCCTCTGCTGCTTTCCCAGCCCATAAGTAGGGAGCTAGATGGGAAGTGGAGCAGCCAGGACTACAACTGGCACCCATATGAGATACCAACGCTTGCAGGTAGAAGGTTAACTAGTTGAGCCAATGTACTAGTCCCTAAAAAACTTTAAAATATGATTTTCATCACTAAAATATGTAACTTTTTGACAGCGTATAACTTTCTTATGTTTTATAACAGATTATGATAACCCCATCTTTGAGAAATTTGGAAAAGGAGGAACATATCCAAGAAGGTATCATATTTCATATCACCACCAAGAGTATAATGATGGTAAGAATATTTGCTGAAAATATCAAACTTTTAAAAATTTTTGTCCATGCCTACAATGTCAGAATACACTTAAACAGCAGAATGACAGACTTAAGATTGATTGTGAAGGACATGGGGAAAGTTTGTGGGAGGAGGGCAGGAAAATTTCGGAGACTATGGAACTGTATTATGGAATAATAAAATACATTTTTAAAAATTTTCAAAAATAGTGAAATAAATGCAAAAATTTTATCTTGTATTTGTGTGATACTGTTAGAAATAAATTTGTTACAGGGTAACTTTTTTGTTTAAAAGACATTTTTTAGAGGAAATGATAAAGCCATCATTGTAGCTTCATGTCAGCTTAACCAAAAATACTTGTCTTTCCCTTGGAAGTAAAGGAAACATTTAAAATGATTTTTTAAAAAATCATTATTGGAAATGAAAATAAATATTTTTCTCCTTTCTGTCTAAAGACATTAATGTTCTGTTTTAGTATTCTCATGTGTATACATCTTACTCTAAGTGATTGTTTGAATTTGAATAAATTCCTGTTAATACCCCACCAAACACACATCCTTGCCTTCTTCAAGCTGCTATTTTATTTTCATAGCCTAATAGAACAAATATATTTGCTATGTTATAAATTTAAACATTTAAAAAATATAGTGTATTGATGAAAGGCATATTATAATTTTTCTTCTACATTTTGTAGGCCGTAAAACTTTCCCCAGAGCCAGAAGGACCCAGGGGACCAGCTTCCGCTCTCCTGTGAGCTTCAGTCCTACCGACCACTCCCTAAGTACCAGCAGCGGAAGCAGTGTTTTCACTCCGGAGTATGACGACAGCCGAGTGAGAAGAAGGGGAAGTGACATAGAGAATCCTACTCTGACTGTGATGGACATCAGCCCCCCTAGCCGTTGTAAGTATAGCGGAGTCCTTACTCAATTGTGGCGGTAAGAGGAATGCATACCAAGCAAGTCCAGGTGAGACCAAAGTATCAAAAGGAGGTAACAGTGTTTGTAAAGGTCGTTGGAAAGTGAGCTCTAAGCATAGTCTTGCTGCTTTTATTAGGACGTTTGTTGCCAATGTGGCATTTTCTTTTTTTTTTTTTTTTTAATTAGGCATTTTCTTTTTCATCCACTCATTCTGTGTGTCTTTGTTGAGTGTCTAGTACTGAAATTTCAAACGTGACCTCATAAGACACAGTATAATGGGGAGAATGATAAGTGGAGAAATAATTATAGCCTAGCAACTTAACTAAATCCTCAAAGTGGGTAGAAATTCACCAGTTCAGGAGGTGAGGAGTGTGAGAAACTATTCCATAGTCTAAAAATGGGGAGCAGCTCATTAATAGGGACATGAATGGGAGAAATCTTGCTTGAAATTCTGGGAATGGAATTATAATGGTACCTAAGGCAGTTGCAAGAGTACTTCAAAAAGTTCATGGAAAGGTGTAATTAGAAGTTAAGATTTATTTTGGTGCAGAAAATTCTGAGATCCTTACATAATTTCCTATGATACACATTTTCCATTTTTTTCAAGCTATCATATATAAGCAGTATGTAAGCAGTGCATGTTAAAACAGAACCCGGAAACCCCTGGCCCACAGGCCTTAAGGCCCAGGAGATCATTTGGTCTGCCCTGCCAAGGCAACCTCAGGTGGGGCTTGAAATTCAATAAATCTGTAGCAAATTCATTTTTAGGTTGGAAATTTTACATGGCCCATAAGTTATAAATACCCAAATGGCCCTTGGCAGAAGAAAGATTGCCCACGCCTGAAGATCCATGCTCAGAAGTATTTACTATAGCAGCATTTGCATTTTCTGTCTTCCTTCCTTTTGTGCTAGTATTGTCATACTTTACTTTTACATCCATGACTTGATGCTGCCTTCCTATGACTTTTGCTTTAAAGTGATGAGAAAGGGCCCATCGCAGCAGACTAGAGGCTAAAGTCCTTGCCTTACATGCGCCCGGATCCCATATAGGTGCACTGGTTTTAATCCTGGCAGTCTCGCTTCCCATCCAGCTCCCTGCTTGTGGCCTGGGAAAGCAGTCAAAGATGGCCCAAAGCCTTGGGACCCTGCACCCGTGTGGGAGACTGGAAGAGGCTCCTGGCTTCTGACTTCAGATTGGCTCAGCTCCAGCTGTTGCGCTCACTTGAGGAGAGAACCAGCAGATGGAAGATCTTCCTCTCTCTCTCCTCCTCTCTATATATCTCACTTTCCAATAAAAATAAATAAATATTTAAAATAAAAAATTTAAAAAACAGAATGATGAAAAAAGTAGCAGGGTTCTATCTTTGTGTTTGTTTTATGTAAGCCTTCAGTCGATCCTTCTGTAGATCTGTGTAATGTTGGTGCAGGAGATCATCAGGTATCAAATTCTTTCTGCTTGAAAATTGCATTTAATCTTAGAAAGACTGCATCTTAAATTAGTGGCATGTTAGATTGAGTGAAAGATGCTTTTGCATTTTATAAAAAAAAATAACTAGGACATGTATGAGTCCTTGGGATATTGATACTTATTTCAGTTTAGAATCCTCAGAAAATTGAAGAGAAATTTGGGTAGTCATTATTTTTCCTTATGTCCAAATACATTTAATGAAGACCATCACTGATGCATAGTGTCATTTAATTCCTGTTCATGTGCCAACTGATTATCCCATTTTAAGAAAGTGTTGTTTTTTTCAGCACCTCGAGCTCCAACCAACTGGAGATTGGGCAAACTGCTGGGCCAAGGAGCCTTTGGCAGGGTCTACCTCTGTTACGATGTCGACACCGGAAGAGAATTGGCTGTTAAGCAAGTTCAGTTTGACCCTGAGAGCCCTGAGACCAGCAAGGTAATAACCGCTGCACAGGCTGCGAATGAACATGACAAGAAGCTGTTGTACTGAGAGAAAGCGCATACTGCAGAGTGGGACTTCAGCATTTGCTTTAGTGCACACTGTTTGCAAGCCAGCTGATTGGATGTTTTGTCATCTTTGTACTATGGATTTGTCTTTACGCTTTAGTCCTATTCCTTTTCTAACTTAACATTGTTTCCTTGTGTCTTAAAGGACTGTTGAAAAGGTTTTTGGTTTGAGATTTTAAAATACTTGTTTTGCTTCATGAAATTGGGGGGAGGGAGGGGCGGGCGGCGCTTTTTAAAATGATATAAAGGCAATGAGTTCTGTTTTGTTTTGCTTTTTTTTAAGGAAGTAAATGCACTTGAATGTGAAATTCAGCTGCTGAAGAACTTGCTGCATGAGCGAATTGTTCAATATTATGGCTGTTTGAGGGACCCCCAGGAAAAAACACTTTCCATATTTATGGAATATATGCCAGGGGTAAGTTGGTGTGTATTTTTGAAAATTTGTTTCAAGTATCATTAAGCAAAGAAATTTAAAAACTTTGATTGTCAAATGTTAATTCCAGTTAAAGACATTTTGAAAGTTTTAAATTAGACTTGGATAATATTTTCTTTTTTGTTCATGTTTTTCTCAGTTTTAACTCGCTAATGCTGAATTACTCTAAACTAGGTACAGATATTATGATAGTCTGTCCTCATTGCTCCTAATTGCCCTAATTATGGGCATTGGAGCTGACTTAACACTAACCAGACTCCACAAGCACTTATTATATTTCTTATATTCTCCAATTCTCTTTTTATTATGATGATACAGATTTAACCAAGAAATGGAGATAATGTTTCTGTTAACAGCCCCATCTCAAGGCTTTCCTAATTATATCTTCATGTGCTTTGTTCAGTTTAATCCTTCATCCCTGTATTTTCCCTAAACTCAGTTAAAGTCTAAATTAGATCCAACTTAAGCATTTTTTAATTGCTGCATGATATCCGAATCTGTATGCCTCAAGTTATATCCCATCTGAGAGACTTCCAGATATGCAACTGCAGTTATGCCATCATTTCCTGCTAAATTAGGGTGATTGGCATTCTAATTCCTATACTGTGGTTTTTTTTCTGCAGTCCAGAAAATAATGTGAGCTGTAGCAATGGCATATGTGAACATGGAGTTCCTGTTCAACCTAAGGCTGTTCAGCCTAATGTTTTGACACTGATTCAGTCATTTCATTAGGAGTTGCAAGTTGTGACCTATGATGTATCATTCCCTTTATGTTTTTCCAATCTGTAGAGTGCATTCTAATACCGATAACTAGATGGTGGCTAGTACATGAATTCCCATAATTAAATAAGTAGCATATATAAGGAAAAGAAGTTTGAGGAGAAGGTGTTTGGTACATTGGTTAGGTTGCCACTTGGGGTGTCTGCATCCTGTATTGGGGTGCCTGGTTTAAGTTCTGGCTACTCCACCCTTAATTAAGCTCTGCTACTGTTCACCTCTGAAGGCGGCAGGTGCTGTCTCACCTGCTTCCTTTCTCTTTCTGTGTCCTTCCATTTGTCTTTGCCCATCCCCTTCTGTCTGTTTCTCTCTGCCTTGGCCTTCCATATGAATAAAGTAAGTAAACAAAAAAGAAATTCAAAATAGATATTTAGTATTGCTTTTCATTTCAAGCTGTAGTGTAGTTTTTGTTGTTACTTTTTTCTCCTAGGGTTCAATTAAGGACCAATTGAAAGCGTATGGAGCTCTCACTGAGAATGTGACAAGGAAATACACCCGCCAAATTTTAGAGGGCGTCCATTATTTGCACAGCAATATGATTGTCCATAGAGATATCAAAGGTAAATTGTCGGGTATTTTTTTAAATTTGAATACATGATTCTTTGTGAATGTGAATAAAATGGGTGATATGGTTAAGACATTTAACGTTTAAATTAATCCACCTGTGTCTGCAATGCCATAGGAAAACAGTTCTGCTTTTTCATGGCCTCTCTCCCCTCCCTCAGTCCAGTGCTGGTGGCTTAGGCTCCAGATGGGTGACATTGAAAAAACCGATCAAGTGAGACTATATTTTGATTATACTGCATAAGCCTTGCAGTGGAGTAGTTAGCATAGTGGCTCTACCACCCTACTGCCTGATTCTAAGTCACTAATTGTGTGGCTTAATCTCTGTGTGTCTCAATTCTTTATTCTTATATGACAGAAATGGCAGTTTCCATCTCAGCATTCTTGTAAGGGTTAAATGAGTTAATGCTTGGAATATTCTTAGCACAGTGCCTGATACTTAGGAAATACCCAGAAGTTGGCTATGATGGTAATATACCTTGTGTTGAGATATTAGGATCGTATTTAAAGTCATGGGAATGGATGTCCTTACCTAGGGAAAGAATAAAGAGGAAGAAAGAAAAGAGCCCAAGACTGAGCTTTGGTGAGCTCCAACTTTATTAAACTTACTTTTTAAAACCTAAAAGTAGCTATTTTCAGGGATCAGGTAAATAAGTGAATGCATAAATGATGCAAGAGTGATCTGTTGGGATGTGGAAAACTTGCAAGTGCTTCAAATTCTACTGCAAACTGTATCTGCAGATTCGATTCTGAAACCTCAATTGTGACCCAGAATTTAGGAATCCTATTAGTCAATAAAAACAAAAAGGAAGAGAACCTGTGCGTGTATGTGTACACAGGAGAGAACTCCAGGAAAGTTCAGGGAAAGTGGAATTAAAAAACAAGTCTATTTTGGTGCAAAGATTTTAAGATCCATGTGCAGTTCTTTCTGAAATGTTTTTCACCAAGTTTTTGAATATTTCTTGTATCCCTGAAGCATGTATGTTGTCCTTTGATATTGCTGGGGACTCTTAGGGACTCCCAGGCTTTTACTGTCTCCTCATGGAATGACACATCCTGACTGTGGCCATGTTCAGGCCTGCCAGAACGTGCCCAGCCAGTCTCCAGTGCGACAGTGTGCAGCATGCCTGAGCCCGGCTCGCGGGTCTGAGGGGGGGTTTATCAGTGAGTGTGAAAGCATCTCCATGCTCTCCCCATCTCGGGCCGACCTCATCTGTTAGACACAAAGCCTGCTAGTGTGCAGAACCTTATCAAGAGAGTGTTTGATTAGGAATAATCTCTTTTCAAGTCAGTTTCTTTCTTTTTTTTTTTTTTTTTTTCATGGTTTCACATATATTTGGAAAAAAGAGCAACCAAATTAACACAAACAATAAAAATTGTAGCTACAGAGGCTGGGGATTGAGTGGGAAAATTATGCTCAAAGAGTACAAAATCTCAAATGGAAGAAGTAAGGGGTTTTTTGTTTGTTTTTTTAAGGCCTAGTGTGCAGCATGGTGAATATAGTTAGCAATAGAACATTTAAAAGGGCTACAAAATAAATATCATTTAATTATTGCAAGTTATATTTATAGGGCCCAGCAGAATGGTTCAGTTTCTAAATCTTAGCCTTGTACCCACTGGGATCCCATTTGGGCGCCAGTTCGTTTCCCGACTGTTTCACTTCCCATCCGGCTCCCTGCTTGTGATGTGGGAAAGCAGCTGAGAATTGCCCAAAGCCTTGGGATTCTGTACCCACATCGGTGACCTGGAAGAAGCTCCTTCCTCCTGTCTTCAGATCGGATCAGGTCTGGCTGTTGTGGTCACTTGGGGAGTGAATCAGTGGATGAAAGATCTTGCTGTCTCTCTCTGTCTCTGTAAACCTGTCTTTCCAATAAAAATATAGACTAAATCTTTTAACAAAATTAAAGAGAAACAAACTATATTTATAAATCATAACATCACCTGAAACCCTATAAAAACATGTAAATATAATTTCAATTTAGGGCCCGGCCTGATGGTGCAGTGATTAAGGTCCTCGCCTTGCACACCCGGGATCCCATATGGGCGCCGGTTCTAATCCCGGCAGTCCCGCTTCCCTTCCAGCTCCCTGCCTGTGGCCCGGGAAAGCAGTCCAGGTCAGCCCAAGGCTTTGGGACCCTGCACCTGCGTGGGAGACCCAGAAGAGGCTCCTGGCTTCAGATCGGCATAGCATCGGCCGTTGCGCTCACTTGGGGAGTGAATCATTGGATGGAAGATCTTCCTCTCTGTCTTTCCTCTCTGTATATCCGCCTTTCCAATAAAAATAAAATAAATCTTTAAAAAAAATTTTGAATTTATACTAAAGTTTTAAATATAAAGATAGGATGGTTGTGGATGAGAAGAAAGGGGTGAACGTAATGAGTGTTGCCCTAGGTGTCCTCATGTGGTTAATCCAGATCCCTGTTCTAGCAGGTACAACACGCTTCAGCCTGGCCTCTCAATCATATTAGGTCAGTAAGTACAAGACCATAAGTGGTTTTTAGGTTACTGAAGTAAACGTCTGCAACTTGGTGATTTAAAACAATGGATTTTTATTTTCTGATACATCAGGAGGTTAAGATTTATTTTTATTATTTTTTTTATTGGAAAGGCGGATATACAGAGAGGAGAGACAGAGAGGAAGATCTTCCGTCCAATGATTCACTCCCCAAGTGAGCGCAACGGCCGATGCTATGCCGATCTGAAGCCAGGAGCCTCTTCCGGGTCTCCCACGCGGGTGCAGGGTCCCAAAGCCTTGGGCCGTCCTCGACTGCTTTCCCAGGCCACAGGCAGGGAGCTGGAACGGAAGCGGGGCTGCCAGGATTAGAACCGGCGCCCATATGGGATCCTGGGTGTGCTAGGCGAGGACTTTAACCACTTGCGCCACCGCGCCGGGCCCTCAAGCCAGTTTCTCATAGGCACTCCTACCAAGGCAAGGGAGAGGGACAGGGAGAGCTTTCCCCAAGTGGATCCTTTTCTGGCTGTACCAGAGGGATGAACTACTCTCATCAATGAGGATGGAAACAAGCTGGTTTTAAAGCACTGGCGGGTACATATACTGGTAATGTAAAAAGTAAGTTATAAACATGGATGTACAGTACAATTGGGATCTAGGAGAAAATTTTTCATTTGATTAATGCTGGCTCTGCTGAGTGGAAGATGAATGATATTTATTGTTTCAACATTTTTTACTTTTTCTGTATTTTCTACATTTTTATAAGTAACTTCTAAATGGAAAGAGCAAAGAAAAGATGGTTATTTGGTTTTTGTTTAAGCCCATAAGTGCTTTTGAAACTTAGGATGGGGCCTGGCGCCATGGCCTAGCAGCTGAAGTCCTCGCCTTGCACTCACCTGAATCCCACATGGGCACCAGTTCTAATCCAAGCAGCCCCGCTTCCCATCCTGCTCCCTGCTTGTGGCCTGGGAAAGCAGTCGAGGACAGCCCAAAGCCTTGGGACCTTGCACCTGTGTGGGAGACCCAGAAGAGGCTCCTGACTTCAGATTGGCTCAGCTCCAGCCGTTGTGGAGTGAATCATCGGACGAAAGACCTGCCACTCTGTCTTTTCTCCTCTGTATATATTCTGCCTTTCCAATAAAAATAAATAAATCTTTTTTTTTTTAAAAAAGGAAACTTAGGATAAAAATGGGTTGATCATTGTTGCTAGGCATTGGTTCATTATTTCAAAGAATTTCAAAACTCCTCTATTTTATGCATTTTTAAGCATACTGTACCACTGACAACCAAATAATGGATGAAAGGAGGCTTTTTTACAAAAGTATGTTGAGTAACAGTGGCAAAAGAAATGATTCTAAAAAGTAGCTTTTATAATCATAAGGATTATGTTGACATTCTGTGATGCTATTAGAGTAGTGTAGAAAACGTAATCTTATTCCTTGCTTCCAAAACAGAACCTGAATCTGATTCTCATTGAGTCTTGAAAACTAGCTGTGAAATTGTGTGTGTGTATGAGAGACAGAGAGAGAAAGAAATAGGATCTTCAAAAAGTCAATGGAGTGGGCCCAGCACAGTAGCCTAGTAGCTAAAGTCCTCACCTTGCATGCGCCAGGATTCCATGTGGGTGCTGGTTCGAATCCCTGCCACCCCACTTCCCATCTGGCTCCCTGCTTGTGGCCTGGCAAAGCAGTCAAGGACGGCGCAAGGCCTTGGGACCCGGCACTCGCTTGGGAGACCCGGAAGAGGCTCCTGGCTCCTGTCAAGAACTCAAGCCAAGAGATACGGATTAGCATCAGCAGAGGTTTGAGTGCTTGACAGGGTCTTCATTGTGAAGGCATGTTTGTCTGTCTCGGTCTCTGTTTCCCTGCCTGTCGGGTAGATGGAAACAATGGAATTAGCACGGGGATCGGAGGAGTACGGAGCTGTCTGGTGCAGCAGTCGAGTCTCTGTGTGGGATGCCCGGATCCCATTCCAGAGTGTCTGGGCTGAGATGTGGAATGCATATAACGGCCCATTATGGAGAAAAGCCTCAAGAGAGCAGGGAGAAAACAGTACTAGAAGTTTTTGACCAAGAAGGCCTGTTAGGGCAGGGGCCGCTCAGAAGACGAAAACCCTCATTTTGGAGACGGACTGAAGAGTTCAGGAACTGATGCTGCCATTCTTCTTTTGTACTGTGTTCTCCACCGCTGATAAAATTAATAAAATGAGGATGTTTTTATTTTCAGGTGCAAATATCCTGCGAGATTCAACGGGCAATGTCAAACTAGGAGATTTTGGGGCCAGCAAGCGGCTTCAGACCATCTGTCTGTCGGGGACAGGAATGAAGTCTGTCACGGGCACACCCTACTGGATGAGTCCAGAAGTTATCAGCGGGGAAGGCTACGGCAGGAAAGCAGACATCTGGTGGGTTTGGAGGATGACAATTGTCTGAAAAGTACTGAGTGTTCTAAGTATTTCCACTCAGGAATGAAACCATTGAGCCAGATTTAAATGGTATTTTTAAAAAATGGTTTATTTCTCTTTACTTGAAAGGCAGAGAGAGAAGGGAAGCAAGAGATCTTCCATTGTTGGTTTACTCTTCAGACGCCCCCAACAGCTGGGCCGCACCGAAGCCGGGATCCAGAAGTGCATCCTGGCCTCACGTGGCCGCCTGCCTCCCTCCCTCCCACACGGTAGCAGGGGGCTGCGCTGGAAGCACTGCAGGCACTCGGCACAGGATGTGGCTGTGTCGGGCGGCAGTTTAACCCACTGCGCCAGCACACCTGCTACAGAATTAGCTTTTGTGCTTCTGAAATAGCAGCAGCTACAAGGATCAGTAGTATTTTAATTATATTTCATTCAGGCTTATAGCTGATCATATATTTGGAGCTGTTGGACCTAGCTTTCAGTGTTTAGGAATGATTTTGTCTGAAGTGAATCTCAGCACTAGAAAGCCCTCTTGCTTTATTTCCCTTAATAAAGTAATTAATCTTTTTTATTGATGTCTTAGAATGACTCACTTAATCTTTAATAGCTTGATAATTTTGAAGTAGAACACAGAGTGGCTAGTTACATCTTCTTACTCAGCAAAGAATTAACTAGACATTGATTTTAGGTATCTGAAGGCAGGCATTTTCTAATGCTTCCTGAGGCAAAAACAGGTGGTTTTTTTTAGCCCCAGGTTAGAAAATTGTATAAAATAAAAATGAATAATATTCTCTTGCCACCATTTTGATTAACTTATAGTCATCAAGCTAGATTATTTTACAATGTTTTTGTTATTTCATGTCATTGTAACCTTTTCCAGTCTTGAAACATGAAATCAAGTCATACTTAAGTTGATGTGGGCTTTGGGCCCAGCACAGTAGCCTAGTGGCTAAATTCCTTGTCTTGCATATGCCTGGATCCCATATGGGTGCCGGTTCTAATCCCCGCAGCCCCGCTTCCAACCGTGCTTGTGGCCTGGGAAAGCAGCCGAGGCGGCCCAAAGCCCTGAGACCCTGCACCCACTTAGGAGACCGCGAGAGGGCTCATGGTTCCTGGCTTTGGATTGGCTCAGCTCCAGCCGTTGCGGCCACTTGGGGAGTGAATCGACAGATGGAAGATCTTCCAGTCTCTCTCCTCCCTTGTGTATATCTGACTTCCCAATACAAATAAATTTTTTTTTTAATTTTTAAAAAAGATTTATTTTTATTATTTTTTATTGGAAAGGCAGATATACAGAGAGGAGAGACAGAGAGGAAGATCTTCCGTCCGATGATTCACTCCCCAAGTGAGCGCAACGGCCGATGCTATGCCAATCCGAAGCCAGGAGCCTCTTCCGGGTCTCCCACGTGGGTGCAGGGTCCCAAAGCTTTGGGCCGTCCTCGACTGCTTTCCCAGGCCACAGGCAGGGAGCTGGATGGGAAGCGGGGCTGCTGGGATTAGAACCGGCGCCCATATGGGATCCCAGGCGTGCAAGGCGAGGACCTTAACCACTTGCGCCACCGCGCTGGGCCCTACAAATAAATTTTTTTTAAAAAAAAAAATTTCTATGGGCTTGTTTTTCGCATTTTCTAGCTGAGTAGGCTTCTTTCACGACGCCGTTGCTCCTGTGACCTTTCTTTGTTTTTGCTCTGCAGGAGTGTAGCATGTACTGTGGTAGAAATGCTAACTGAGAAGCCACCGTGGGCTGAATTTGAAGCAATGGCCGCCATCTTTAAAATTGCAACTCAGCCAACAAACCCAAAACTGCCACCTCACGTCTCAGACTACACTCGAGATTTCCTCAAACGGATTTTTGTAGAGGCCAAACTGAGACCTTCCGCAGACGAGCTCCTCAGGCACATGTTTGTGCATTATCACTAGCAGCCGGTAACCTTCCCTGTGCCTCTGCCCAGCTCCGCGTGTTCATGCACCTCTCTCTGACTGCACTTTGCTCTTGGATACTCAAGAGAGATGGGGAGAAAAAAGACAAGAGGGAAAGTATTTCTCTTGATTCTCGGTTAAATTTGTTTAATAATAATAATAATAATAGTAACCTAAATTTTTTATATTTAATCTTTTTTTTTTTTCCTTACAAGAACTTGAAATTTCCTTTTTTGTGTGTGTTTGGTTTTTAATTTTTATAATGTACTGATGTGGTTCCGAGAGATAAAGCACTTTAGTACATAGTCACTCTTTTTAGTGTCAACAGATCATTTGGAATACGTAAAGACTGTAGTCTCTCCCTGTGTCACGGACATCTTGGTGATGAAGAGACGTGGGAAATGAAGAGAAGAAAATAACGTGTAATGTGTAGTTTTTAGTCCTAGTATTTAAAATAGATCCTCATTTGTAGGGTTGGGCCCTAAAACTAGCCTTTAGGGAAGGTACTCAACTTCAAGAATATAGGTTTCTTCTTGTATCTGTATTCTTTAGATCCTAACCTCCGTCTACCAAGCTTTTTGCTCAGTAGGAACCTTGATAGGAGATAAGAATCTCTAAGAGGTATGTTTATTTGTTACTCTTAACCAGTATAATCAGCAAATATACTCTAGTAGATCCATGGTACTGGAATTTATAAACCTGGAGGGAAAGCTTTCTGCTTCAAAGGATATAATCTTGAAGAAATGTGGGAATTCAGCAAACAACAAATTCAAATAAATGACAGGTGGAGTGCGCGTGCGTTAAATGTGTAACCATCAGATGAGGTCATGTTTACCATTCAACAGAAATGATGAAGGGAAAAAGAAGTAAATGTGGTCGGTATATTTCATGTGGTCTTTACTTGAAGAGGAAAGTCCCGGAATTCAGGAAATGGAGAAATAACAACAGCCATGTATACGATCTTTGTATTTCTAGTCCCTGATTCCCCGTAGATAGCATTGTTTAGAGACAACAGAGCATACAGAGAAAGCTAGTGTGTCCTGAGCCGACATCTTTGTTCTTGGGATCGTAGAAGAGTTAAAGCCCCTCACGAAAAAGAAAGAGGAAACAGGATAGATGTCGCTGGAAACTGTGGTTGCTAATGGTGTAACGGGGATCATTCCATCTGGCATCTCGCAGTGCCTGGAGACATTTATGTTTGTCACTCTAAGAGGATTCTACTGGCATCTCGACGGTAGATGCCCGGGAAGCTACTTTATGTACATAAAAACAGTGGCCCTGAACCCCAAAGTGTTGTCCTGCCCTGAATCTCAAATGTGCCAAAGTTGGGGAACCCTGACGTGATGACCAGTCCCAGTTATAAACTGAAACAGCCATTTACAAAGCAGAAAATGCAAAGCAGCAGGTAGCATAATGTAAATTGAGGGTTTTCTGTGAACTGATGCTACTTACTTTTTGAATCAAGAATGAGTGAAACCAACAAAAAGCAAGTAGGAGTCACTTCCTTACCAGCTGCATATCACATGCAAATCAAATATTGGAGCACTAAGTCATTTGAACTCAGCCATTTGTGTGAATACTTTTTATTAATTGGAACAAATGTAACATATCAAAACGAATGTTAGCAATTAGGACGGCTTAAAACTTGGCAGATACCTCTGGTGTAGTGAATCCTCTAAGAGTAACAGCATCCAGTAGAATGAGACAGCTGGGGAAAGTCCCACTAGCTTAAATGGGTTTGTGCTACTGAAAAACATGACCAGTCATTTGGCTGTTTGCAGGTTTTTTTTTCCCCCAGCAAATTACAGCTAATTCTGTAATTATTTCTAGAGGTCTGGAAAATAATTGTCTTCCTGGGTGCCCTAAATATGATATCCTTTATGGGATTCCTAAAGGACTAAGAAACTCTTATTTTTTGCCAAAAGATAGGCTCACTTAGGACCCCTTGAAGGGTAGAGCTTGGTTTTCTGGACTGAGATCCTACCTGGCATTGCCTCTAGGGAGACTTGAAATTCTGCTAGTCTGAGAAATCCAAGCACAAAATTGGGTGTTAATGCTTTTCCATAATCTTCAAGCCAAAGGAAGCATTACAAGAATAAGAATTAGGTGCCCCCTACCCTGGCACATCAGCTGCTCAGCCTTGTGCTACTTACATGCTCTATCAGTAGTGTGGATCTATGGTCATTTCTTTCTCTTTCCGAGTAAGGGTCTCGTTTCCACTCGAGCAAGATCATGGTAACTGGACCAGTGGGCTTTTCCTTCATTTCTTGTCCTGTGTGGTTGTGATTTCCCTTTGGCTCATCTTTGGTCTGTCAGGGTAACCAGCAGTGCAGAATCCAAGACAGATGCTCCTTAGGGCAAAAGCTAGGGAGACTGTGGAGCCCAAAGCAAAGCTGTTTGCTTGTTTAGTCTCCTTTTTCTTTTCTAAGTGCTGTTGGCAAGAAAGGCACCTGAAGAGAAACTACTGCTTCAACACTGCTGCAGAAAACTCTTGCTTTATAAGAAAAATATTAGCTATGGGAAAGTAATGTTCTTTATGTAAAGACTTAAAAATAGACTAATAGTTTACAGAGTTATTGTATAAAGTATGATGTGAATTTATTTCAGACGAGTTGTGAAGGTACCAAAAAACCACAATAAAATAAATAAATATATATATATATATATATATGAGAAAACTACTTAGAACAAAAAAGCTTGAAGGTGGGAGGGGGTCTGGAAGACCAAAAGAAAATAAATAACATTTTTTAAAAGAAACACCTTTATCAGGGGAAATTAAATATAACACTCCATTTTTTTTTGTTTTTAATAATGGTATGGATAACAAATGAAATTTGAACTTTCCAACATGACTCTTAAGTAATTTTGTTTTTTCACCGCACAACTGGTTCTCCTGCGCTGTCATGTTTGTGTGCTGAGGCTGGAGACGGCCAGGCTGCTGACTTGGTGCCTTTAAACGCATTCTGCTTTGGTGCTGCAGAAGATCGCGGAGCGGTGGCAGATGCGTTTTTCAGGAAATGTCTGCTTACGCCTTGAGAGATTCCAAGTAGCACGACTAAGGCGTGGACCAAATATAAGACCTTTTGCATTTGCAAACAAAATGTATTGAATAAAAGAGTTAAAAATTATCCTGAGGAGTAGTGGAAATTTTGATGGGTTGGCAGTTCCTCAAAAGTATATTTTTTAAAAAGTATGCAGAGTGAAAATTTCAGTGTGAACACCTTGAAATTTGTCAGCACTTTTCTTTATAAAACATGTTTCTACCTTAAAAATGACTTCTCCCTTCAAAAGAAATTTAAAAGGTGCATTCACCCTTATATAATATATGTAAATGATTCAAAATTTAATGTACATGCTGAGATATAAAAGGGAAATTAAAACTGATTTCAAAATAAATTCCACATGAGAGACTTTTTATCTGATTTTTAACAAAAATTACATTACAATAAAAAGGTAAAACTCTTTCTTTAGAATAGCTTTCTGCTATTCTATCTCTTACATAGTTTGGGTTGTATTTCTGAAATCATGAGATATGTGAAGTGATAAGAAAATCAGATCTGGATAGCTTGGTTGGAAAACCAAGCTAGAAGCAGTCGCCTCGGCCCATGGCCGAGTTGTGTGCCAGGAATTTCATGTCAAGTCTGGGAATCATCAACTTGACATGAGACCCCCTGGTGTCAACCGAGTAGACATACCTGTCCACTCCTTAGAACTAGCGTAATTTTTTTTTTTTCATTTGCTTACTCAGTAATTGTGACTTGCTGTGTCAGATACTAAATTAATGTCCTTGAGGAGGCTCAGTGTAGGAGGAACAAGGGCTGAGAGTGTGTTTTATGGCATACCCTAACACTGGCCAGTCAGCAAAGTTTTCCAGTGTGAACAGTTAATTTTTAAGAAATAAGGGGAAAACAGTTGTGTGTTAACCAAAGGCTGTAATAAACTGAAACATCATGAACCGCAGGGATTCTGGGAGAAGTATCCTCCCATTGGAGGGACCTACCCACCCCCAGTTAGGTGGTCTGCCCCTCTGGACCTCCACGGACAGCCTCTACTCAGACAGTTCAATGATGGGGTATTCCATAACACAGGGCTGTTTGGTTTGGTTTTTCCCAGTTGTCTATTTTTAAATAAAAGCAGTCATTTGGTCTAAATTGGGAGAACATCCAGAACGTTTGATGGGAATTGAACGCCATCGAATGTTATTTAGTCACCATCAGGACAATTTATCGAGACCCTGTTATTTTCATCATTCAGTTTGTCCTTTGTAATAAACAAATGTAATGTTCATATTTATTTGAATTTTAAGATTGTTCACATGTTAATGAAAGTAATTTAATTGCTCATTTTAGTAGTGCCTTTTTCTCTGTATGCCTTATTTTGTATGACTAATTCAAGTTACCCACTGAAATGAAAAAATTTGTTTCCAAAATCAGCAGACTTCAAGAGTTCTTTTGGCCTTAGACTGTGTATTGGCCCTTACACATTTGTTAATGCCTGCCTCCTCCTCCTTCTACCTCCTTTTTATTGTTACTCTATTTAGGAGAGAAACATTAGTGTTTGTGTGTGTTAGGCACTGCATTTTCCACTAGGCATGGATTTCTAAACAAAGGTACAGTGTCATTCTAAAGAGATACATGAAGTGTCTTCTGGGTTGATTGCTTGATTTTCAATAACATTGACATCTCCATGTTCTTTATGTACCATGATTCAGTTACCATGTTCATAACAGAGCTAGAGTGGTGGTTTTGTCTCTTCCCCCTCCCCCCCAAGGAGATCATTTGATTGGTTTAGAACTAATACAGTATGAATTAGGGCAATGAGCAAGACATCCAGGGGTAATAATTTCCAATCCTTACATTATAACTAATATTTTGGCTAATATTCCAGTCGTTTTTGTGCGAGTGTGTGAGTGTGTGTGTTTGAAGTTGGGGCGAAGGTGGAAAGAAAGGGAAGAAAGCTAAGAGTGTTCAGTGAAATCACAATGAGTCTGTTCTTGGAAGAACAACCCCAAATATGTCGTGTTCCTGGAACAGCAGTATATTGCCCACTACCAGCTAGTGCAAGTAGCTGTTTAATAAAAGTATTCAGTGTAGATTGCCAAGCTCTTGGTTCCAAAAAGTATATTAAAATGTGTGTGTGTGTGTCTGTGTGTGTGAAATATGTAAACAGAATATAGCAGATCTTACATAGTTCATGAGATTCTTGGAGTAGAAGTTCTACAAGACCAGATTCCTTGGCTTACCAGTTACTCAAAAGCAACCTGTCTTATACCTCTTTTTGGTTGGCTGGGGAAGGCGTGCTGTGAAGTCACTGTTCCTACTTCCTAGTAATCTAACTTGACTTTGACTTCTGCCATGGTCTAGACAGAATGCCCTGACTGGCATGGGAAGTGCCAGGGCCACACAACTCTGTACTCACCTTCAGAGCTATAGGTGGTACTGAGCTCTCAAGCAGAGAGAGGAGTCGTAGCTATAACAAACATAAGAAAAAACAAACAAAAACAAATTTTCTCTTCCTGTAATTCTTACGTGTTTGTATCTTTCAAATTGTACATTTTTAATTGACGGTCATATGACATTTTTATGAATAGCAAAGGCGTCCAGTCAGCAAGTACTATTATCCCTTTGCCTGATGACTTCTTGTTTGTATCACAACCTGTACTATCAGAATCACTTTAAACCAAAGCTTTTATATTTCCTGCACACATAGCCAAAATGATGAGCACTGGTAGATGTGCCCATTTCTAAGCTGACATAGCAATGGTAAGGCAGGTACTAACAGAATTGTATCTGAATCTATCCTTCAAGGAAAGGACGGGTGCTCAGTATTTTCATGTAGACGTGCAGAATGCTTCTACTTAGAAACTACACAGACATCACAAGGTTAAGCTGTACACGTGCCAATGCATTAACGTCACCTAATCACAAGTGCGTTTAGATACACCTGGGCGGATGTTTGACGTCTCAGGTTGGTGGCGTGCTCTGTTCCTGGTGCTTGACTTGAGGGG